GATTGGCAAATGCGATGGTGATGGCTTTCTTTTGGTACGGACCAACACACCAGTTTGTGAGCGAAACACGGGGAATGTGCAAAAGCGGCTAAAACAAATAAACAACACACAGGCAAACAGACTGGTTCCTCGTAGTAGGTATCTATGGGTTCTACTTGTTTTGGCCAAAAAAGAACAGCGAATAGAGAGAAAGAGCAGACACAAAAAGGAAGGTGGTGGGAAACAGGAAGCAAAAATGCAATTCAGGGGGCTGAAGGCAAATGACTTTGGCAAAAACTATAATTAACACTAAACTATTCCACACTTTATGGGTATTTTTGGTTTTGGCCAACGCACGCAAAAATCACACACACTCTCGAAACCGCAAAACGGATGACGCTAGGGTCCGAAACTTGATCTTGCGCCTTCTTGTTGTTGCTGCTCCGGTATCTTGGACTGTATTGTGTGTAGTATCCGCGAATATAACCGATTTACTCGAGAGTTTAAAGCGCGGCAACGTCTGGACGGAGCGACGCTCGCTTACCTTCTGGTCGGACCTACCTGTTGCCGCCCGTTCTTGGCTCTCCGGAGCGGCAGCGGCTAAGCCGTCGAGCTCCGAATACTGGTTTTCCGCTCTTGCCGGTTCTGTTTTGCTGAGGTTTCGCGCACGCGCAAAGTAATTGGCAATGAAAATGGGCAATCGCGTCGGAAGCCTACTTTTGGGCTGCAAAACAAAAGTATTTTCAGGTAAAACAATAACCTAAATATTTTGCTTCCCTAGTTCTCATTATCACTCATTAAAGAAATAAAGAATAGTAGTTATGATTATCAGAAAATATTTAAATTTTGAGGTTGTGGTCAAGATAAAGGAACAAAAAATATTGCCCAAAAATCGATCTATAGTACTCAACCAAAATGTTCAACAGAAAAAAAAACATTTTTTTAAGCAACCCACTTTTATGGTTTCTAAGGCTTAACTATTTTTTGATTATATTTTCAAACCTTAAAAAATATAAATAAAAAACAATTCTTGAAATAGATTGAGATACGTATTTATACAAATAGAAAATAAAATTTATCTATATTTTATTTAGGGGCAACAAATAGTTGCTATATGGAGTGAGGTTGCTACACCAGACTTAGTCTAAGTAAAACTAGCGTGTTTCGTGGTTAGAGAGCATCGTCCACCTGAAACTGAATCAGATCCTCGACGGGAAAGCGGAAGAGCGAGGCGGTCTGGGCCTCGGCAGCCATCTGCTCGATGTTGGCGCTCTTCTGGTAGCGAAAGTGCTCGTCCACGGGCGTCTTTCTGTACCGATGATCCTGCCGAATGTGGGTTAGAGCCACTGGATCCGGCAGTTCGGCCGCCACAATGGGATGCTCAAAGTCAATCAGCGGCAGGTGATCGCTGCGGGAAATGGTACTCGAACGATTGCCGGCCTGTGATTGCAGATGTTGCTGTTGTGTCGGTTGATGTTGCTGCTGGGTTTGATTGAGCGATGGATGAAGTTGTTGCAGATGTTGCTGCTGTTGCTGCAGGTGAGTAATGCTGTTGTTGACTGCCTGTCTCGGTTCTATTGGACTTGGCGGATTGGGAGGTGGCAAATCATTCGGGTTGATCGCCTGGCGCTGCATGTTGTGGTTGTAAAACGGATTGGTGGAGCTGCGAATCGTGGCAGTGGGTTTCTGCTTGGGAAATACGTTCAAGTGCAGCATAATGGGGTTCGCATGACTCTCCACTGGACCCTGTCCTTGAGCTTGACCCTGCCCTTGACCCTGACCTTGACCCTGTCCCAGACTCTGGCCGTAAATGGCCTCATCACCAAGCACGCTCTTGGGCGGCGGAAACTTCTGGGCCTGCGCCTGGTACAAAGCCTGTTGCTGACTATATCGGGTGGCCTGATCGGGAAAAAGCACGGGCTGTTGGGTGGGGAACTTGAAGGGTGTCTGGTAGTGGCCATGACCTTGGGCCATCTGCAAAGCGGCCGCCGTGGTGCCCGTCAAGGCAGCCGCCGAGGGCAGGGCGTACTCCTGCTGAAAGGGATGTCGCATCACGGATGCGGGTCGCGAGGGCGGCAGCACCGGATATATATCCAGATTGACCTTGAAGGGCACCCGCTTCAGCTGCGGCTGCCTGGTGGCATTCAGCGATAGCAACGATTGGGGAAAGTGCTGCACGAAGGGGTCTGCCACAAAGTGCTGATGACTTCCGTGCTCCAGCAACTGTTGCTGCTGTTGCTGCTGCTGTTGCAGTTGCTGTTGCTGCTTCTTTTTCTTCTTTTTGGACAGGGGCTTCCCACTGCCCAGTGGCTGCATGGCCAGCAGATTGACATCCTGCGGCGAACGTGGCTTGTAGGGGTACAACTGATCGATGGCCACCCTTTGGTGGGGCAGCACACCGGGAGCATACCACTGCATGGGCATGGGCATGGGCATGGGCATGGTCATGGGGTACATGGGCATGGGAATGCTGAACTGCAACTGCTTCTTGTTGCGCTTGCCCCGGAAGAAGTTGCCTATCCCGCTGGACTTGAGGTTCTTGAAGCTGCCGGCTATGTGCAGACCCGTTGGCATCATCACCATGGGTGGCAGCTTGCTGGGCGCCACACCACCAATGTGCAGGTGCTGCAGTATGTCCTGGATGTTGTTCAGCTCCGGACGAGCCTCACCCTTGCTGAACTGCTCGGGCAGGGGGCCTTCGTAGGGAAAGTGAAAGGGCTTGGGCTTGAACCCCTCCTCCTGATTGCGCTGAGCTCGCGATCCCGGCGTTTCCGAGTACTGACGCCTCAGCAGCGCCTTTGTGGGCGCCGGCGGGGGCGTGGGCGAACCCAAGGACAACTGCATGTCCTGGGTGGTGAGGCGTGGAGGGCGTGGCATCTGGTCACGCAGCAGCCCCCTCAGAGGCGTCATGGTCGCCGATCGCTTGGGCAGACGCTCATACACATGGGTGTCGTCCGTTTCGTGCGACGTTGTTGCGTGTTGCTGCTGTTGCTGTTGAAGTTGCTGCTGTTGCTGGGCTTGCTGCTGTTGCTGGTGTTGCTGCCGTTGCGCTTTCGTGCGCCACGTACCGTAGATGGGTGCAATGTTGCTGTCGGCACGCTCCAATAAGTAGGCGGTTTCCCCAGCAGCCCCCTGCGTGGCCTGCATCTGCTGCAGATGCAGCTGCAACTGGTGTTGCTGCTGGCGCAGATACTGTTGCTGCTGCTCGTGCTGCAGTTGCTGCAACTTGGCCCGCATCTTGTCGATGTCGCTGTCGCTGTCTGATTGCTCAGGCTCCGTGGTCGTGGGCTCGTCTGCCGAGGACTCAATGTCGTTGGGCGATTGCTGCTGGTGCAGTAGATGCTGCTGCTGCAGATGTTGCTGCTGATAAAGAGCTGCTGCTGAGGCGACCTTGACTACCATGAGAGACATCTGCAAGGCACACACAAAATAAGATCAAAGATTATAAGGTTACATGTGCTCGAGAGTAATTGGTTATTTGGCCAAAAATCATTTCATCATATAATTGTTTTCAAAAATTTGCGATTGTATCGTGAGGGATGTACAATTACAGATCCAATTCATCGTATCATGATGGCCATGGGATCGTACGTTTTTTTGTTATTACTTATGAATTAAATCTGAGCTTGAAATGTATAACTTTTATGTTGGAAAATTATATTCACTGATAAGCAATTTAAAATATTTCAAATATTTATTGGTTTTATCAAATATATACATCAGATATATCCTTAAAATGTTATCTCTTTCTTATTTTTTTCAGATTTAACCTTCTAAAAAACGGCTTAAGCTGTCAACTCACAATTGTGTAGCCCAGGAGCAGGCCCATAATCCACCGCCTGCCTTTATTTGAGCCTGGATCCAGTCGCGTTCGAGTGTCTCGTTGTCCTTGACTGACTGCCGACTGCATGAACATCTTTCCGGACTCTGCTGCTCGAACCACTCGGCTTGCCTATCGCTTTATAAATGTGGACTTCAGCTTCTGCCTCATCGCGGATCGCAACGATGACTGAGTGCAGCCGGGCGCTGGCGGCGCCTAAAAAGCGTCGGTTATATCGGCCCAAGTGCAACAGCTTAATTAGAAAGTTTAATACGGTTTGGCTGCGAAAGCAAAACAGCAATCTACAGACAAATAAATTAATTGCTCATGCGAATTCGTGCTCCCAGGCATGTGGAAAAGAAAGAGATATTAAAAAACGCATTGACCATGAAAATCTGAAGATCGCAGCGGTGTGGCTAGGAATATCATGTTAGTCTTATAAATCCGAAGTGGTTATGCTCTGACGGAGGAGTTGATAAGAATACAATACAGGGTTTCTCCTTCAGAAGAGTTAAAAAAAGTCAAATTTAATATGAAAATAGTAGTTATCACTCTTGTCAAAACAAACTTCTGGCAATGCCCTATGCAACTGAGGCCTACCCATTTAAAAAAATGATTTATATTTTATTTCTATATTTATATTTTAAATAAACTTTTTTCGATTAGTGCCTTGCAATGCTATTAATAGTTTTGTTATTACAAGTCAAGCTTAATTTATTTATTTCTTATCCTTTTTCTATATATATCACAAGGTTCATTTTAAGGCATGTTTAACTTGAAGTTAAATTATTTCATGCTTCCTAAAGAACGCTAAGAAGAATGTTCAACATTTTTTTAATAGGTAAATGCATAACCCTTATAACTAAGCTAACCAGTTCTTACATCCGATATAAAAATTGCTAGAGACCAGAATTGAATGTCAAGGTTAAGACTTAACCAGCACATTTATCGTTTTATTGCCTGCCAGCAACAAACTCCTTAGCATAGTCGTAAAAACCGACATTTATGATGAGCGGCAACAGATTAGCGTTTAACAATACCACAAAATCCCCGGACATGATTTGCTCCCATTTCCCGTTTGCCAAAAGGAAAAGAAAATGCGTGCAAAACACTCGAAACATGTATGTTTTGGGTTTAAAAACACACAAAATGCTAAATAGACCGCAAGATAGCCAAAAAGCTGAAGAAACGCTTGTAAATATTCGAAAAACTTATTTTATTGTTCAGGTTTTTAGCGATCCGAATAAAAGGTTTATTTAATCGTAATATAGAGCTATATAGTCTTGAGCTGGCGAGCGTCACAGACGACGGCCGCCCATCGATCGTAGCATAGTGGTAGAACATAGCAAGAGTTGGATAGACTGTTAGCTGTACAATTGGGGCTCTCATAGACAATGATCCCTAGCTGTATGAGTATGCGATTCATTAATTACAAAAATAAAATAAAAACAAACAAGTGTCGTCCAAGCACCGCTGGCGGCGGCATCGTGTAACGTTAGACTGTACGAGTACGAGTACGAGTGTATTGACTAGATCAATCTAGCCCTAGACGAAGGCCCTATCCCGGATCATCTCTAGATCTCTAGAAGTTGAAGGGGATGCTGGGCACTGGGTACGAGTAGCCCTGGTGCTTGGTGGGTGGGGGTGGCACGTACACGGTGGTGCGCACGGTCGGTGGTGGCACGTACACCGTGGTCTTGCGGGTTGGGGGGCGGGGGTGGACGGGTGGTGCGGACAGTCACGGGGGGCAGGTAGGTGGTTGGAGGCCTGGTTGGGGGGCGAGTGGGTGGTGGAGGTGGGCGGGTGGTGCGCACAGTTGGGGGAGGCAGATAGGTGGTTGGTGGGCGGGTTGGGGGCCTCGTGGGCGGCAGAGTGGGGCGGGGAGTGGTGCGCACAGTGGTGCGAACTGTGGCACGAGTCGTGGCCGGTGGTGGTGGCTTGTTAGTGGGTGGCAGGTAAGTGGGAGCGGGGGTGGTTAGGCGACGAGTGGTCGGTGGGTAGGTTGGGGGACGAGTTGGGGGTGGGGTGGCACGGGTGGTGCGCACAGTCACGGGAGGCAGGTAGGTGGTTGGTGGCCTGGTTGGGGGCCTAGTTGGTGGTGGGGTGGCACGAGTGGTGCGCACAGTCACGGGTGGCAGATAGGTGGTTGGGGGACGAGTTGGGGGCTTGGTGGGAGGCAGAGTTGGGCGAGGAGTGGTGCGCACTGGGGGACGAGTGGTTGCCGGTGGTGGTGGCTTGTTGGTGGGTGGCAGGTAAGTAGGAGCGGGGGTGGAAGCACGGGTTGGGGGCCTAGTTGGGGGGCGAGTTGGTGGTGGAGGTGGGCGAGTGGTGCGCACGGTTGGGGGAGGCAAGTAGGTGGTTGGTGGACGAGTTGGTGGCCTGGTAGGGGGCAGAGTTGGGCGAGGAGTGGTGCGAACAGTGGTGCGAACCGTGGCACGAGTGGTAGCCGGTGGTGGTGGCTTATTGGTGGGTGGCAGGTAAGTAGGAGCAGGAGTGGTTAGACGACGAGTAGTCGGTGGGTAGGTTGGGGGACGAGTTGGTGGTGGGGTGGCACGAGTGGTGCGCACAGTCACGGGAGGCAGATAGGTGGTTGGTGGCTTAGTCGGAGGACGAGTAGGTGGTGGAGGAGGGCGGGTGGTGCGCACAGTCACGGGCGGCAAGTAAGTGGTTGGTGGGCGAGTTGGGGGACGAGTTGGGGGCAGAGTGGGGCGAGGAGTGGTGCGCACTGGGGGGCGGGTGGTGGCTGGTGGCGGTGGCTTGTTGGTGGGTGGCAGGTAAGTGGGAGCGGGAGTGGAAGCACGGGTTGGGGGCCTAGTTGGGGGGCGAGTGGGTGGTGGAGGTGGGCGAGTGGTGCGCACAGTTGGGGGAGGCAGGTAAGTGGTTGGTGGGCGAGTTGGGGGACGAGTTGGGGGCAGAGTAGGGCGAGGAGTGGTGCGGATTGTGGTGCGAACTGTCGCGCGAGTGGTTGCTGGTGGTGGTGGCTTGTTGGTGGGTGGCAGGTAAGTAGGAGCAGGAGTGGTTACTCGACGAGTAGTCGGTGGGTAGGTTGGGGGACGAGTTGGTGGTGGGGTGGCACGAGTGGTGCGCACAGTCACGGGAGGCAGATAGGTGGTTGGTGGCTTAGTCGGGGGACGAGTAGGTGGTGGCGGCGGACGGGTGGTGCGCACAGTCACGGGCGGCAGGTAGGTGGTTGGTGGGCGCGTTGGCGGCCTGGTGGGAGGCAGCGTCGGGCGTGGAGTGGTGCGCACTGGAGGACGGGTGGTTGCTGGTGGTGGCGGCTTGTTAGTGGGCGGCAAGTAAGTTGGAGCCGGAGTCGAAGCGCGCGTCGGTGGGGGTGGTGGCCTGGTGGGTGGCGGCGTCGGGCGACGGGTGGTCACTGGTGCTGGCGGCTTGTTGGTGGGTGGCAGGTAGGTTGCTGGTGGACGAGTAGGCGGCTGGGTTGGGGGACGAGTCGCGGGCCTGGTTGGGGGAGGAGTCCTTGGCGGCGGGGGTGGCGTTGGGCGACGAGTGGTCACCGGTGCTGGCGGCTTGTTGGTGGGCGGCAGATAGGTTGCCGGGGGACGAGTGGTCGGGGGCCTGGTTGGGGGCCTCGTTGGAGGAGGAGTCCTTGGTGGCGGAGGTGGTGGCGGCACACGGGTGGTGGCCGGTGGTGGTGGCTTGTTGGTGGGCGGCAGGTATGTGGGTGGTGGCCGCGTGGGCGGGCGCGTGGGTGGCCTGGTGGGTGGTGGCGGGGGTGGGCGCGTTGGCGGCCTCGTGGGAGGTTGGGTGGTGCGCACGGGCAGATCGAACGGCACCTTCGGCTGGGGGTAGAAGTATCCCTCGGCGGCACGAGTCTTGCGCTGAAAGTGGTCGGCACATGAGTTCCTGTGGGCGGGAAAGGGATGGACTCGTTCACTTACCTCATGGGTATCGGCCGATGCGGTGGCCAGCGCCACAGCGCAAAGCGCCAAGACGAACAGTGCACTTCTCTGTGGAGAAGAGAAAAGGAGAACGGGTGGTTAGGTGGTTTGGTGGTGCAACAGCTCGATGGGCTTCAGTGGTGTCGCGGTGCAGAGGTGCTTTGACTAACGACTGGCTCTGACAACCAGATTGCGACTAATTGATCGCCTTCTAGGCTAATCGCCGCTTCACGCTTCGCGGCGACTTGGCCCGGTTGGAAAGAAGCAAGGCAACTCCGCTGGCCTGCAGTTCAAAACTGTGGTAAAGTTCAGCCAACAAAGCCGTCGCATCGATTTACCACAATGCATTGAAAATCACCCATAATGTTGGCGCAGACATTCAACTTTGACAGGCATTAGCATCTCTAGGTCAGTCCCCTCCCCCGAAGCGGTTTAAGTCTGGCCGATTGCCGCGATTGATACATAATGCTTATGCAAATGCGAAGCGACACAAGAGATATTAGCTCAATTGGGAGCCGAGGAAGCAGCCCCTGAATGATGGCTTCCGACGCTGCTGTCAGCAGGTTCATTTGCATTTGTTGCTGGCTTTTCGGCAAGGTCATTGCTAGCTAATGAAAGTGCTCGTCGATGGCCGCAGCTGGTTGATGAGCTCAATTAATTGACCAGCGGAGAATTTTCGGGGAGTATATAAATAGCCGATTATGCCAGAAACCGGCCCGTATCCGGGGCCCAAACTCCAGACCAGTTCTAGCCATGATTATATAATAATCGGCGAAGACAGGCCATAAAACTAGTGAGAAAATCCAATGTCCCCTGCCGAAATTAGCATACGCAGCTGCCATAAAAATGAGGAGTCTGCCTCGGGCGTCATTTATAACCAAATCTGCTAAGATTATTGCCCATACCTCTAAAAGCGGCTGGGTCTACATTTTATTTAAAACTTCTGATTGTTTGCTGATTTCAACAAAATTTTGACTTTTGTATGTAAATGATTTTAAATAATTTATGCTAATGAACCTGAAATTTTGGTTGTTCTAACTCGTTTGAATTATCGCCTCAGCAACAATTTGGCTTTGGAATTCGAGAATTAAATCGGGTTTTGACTCTTGCACGGGGTGCTCAAGACTAAGAAAGTGAAAGGACTTGGGGAGATACTCGATGAGCTAAACACTCTTCCCTTGACTGTTCATTATGCTAATTGGCAACTAATTAATCCGATTCACACCGCATCGAGGGCAGCGCCTCAATGCCAAGACTTCGGGGCAATCAAATTAGTCCGAAAACTGTGAGAAATGTGGCCAAAATAAATGTGTGGGGAAAAGAGTTGGGAGATGGGAGCCCTTCAACAAATGGCATCTGCTTGGGCAAAACAATGTCTTGGCGGCGGTTCAATGGCAACGTCAAGAATCTAACTTAAGGCAATCGTTTTTATGGCTATTTACCTAAATATGCCAATCGCAAATTGCCACTCGCAAATGTCAGAAGCAAAAGCGAAAATTATGGATAAAAAAAAACAAGTTTTAATTTCATCTTCATTCATGTCAATGCTGACATAGAAACTGCCGCCACATGGCAGAATGCACATGCAGCTGGTCCATCCTAATGACTTAATACGCAAATTGCGATTCGCGCCAAGGCGATTCAACTCCGTGGGCGACCCACACGGCGTATGCGTAACATTGCACTCGATGGCACTTGCTCAATTTCTACGCGACTTAAATGTCAGCCGCCAGCTGGTCAACGCTCAGTCGAAGATGATAGCCCGGGTCCAGAGTTGGACCCTCGACGAAATGCGAAATGCAAATAGATGGCGATTGAATTGGAACTGCAGTTGGCTTGGGCAATTATTTACTTTTTCTTCTTGTTTGCGATGCTCTGCGATGCACAGAGAAAAAATCACAACAATAGACATTTCTATCTCGACTTTAATCCTAAAGGTGGAAAATATTATCCATTATCAAATATTAGTTTTTAATCAGATTAACAATTTTTTTTATTGTGGATGTAGTCTAAAAACGTTCTCAGAACTACTACCCTTTTACCAAATCTCAAAACTAAATCATTTATTGAACCTTATTATTTTTTTTCCTTTCCTGGATCATGTTTCAATATAAAATATTTAAATCGAAAAAATAATAATCTTTAATAACATGCAAATATTAAATTTTAAGTTTCTATTTGGAAGTTTGTATTGGAATTTTGTTGTTTTACAGCGTCAAACTAAACCTATAAAAATTTAACTTGTTAAGTAAGCATATATTAAACTTTTTTTTTTGTATTATTCAAAAAAGCCTCTCATTTTTTATCTACTTCTTTTTCATTTATCATATTTCAAAACCAATTTGATTCAGACTTTTAAGTTTAAACACTTTGTCAAAGTTTTCTGCCTGCAAGATATCACATTAATGCGAGTATAGCTGCCTTTTTAACACAATTGAAATCTAAGTTATTTCAAACTCCCATAATATTTTGAGCTATCAAAACTTATACTGTTTCTCCCTCTGCATTGCGGTTTCCTTTTGCGAAATGCCTTGTTTGTCTTTACACCGAGGGACACTTGTTTCGTTATGTTTTGCACTTTGCACACGATCATTGTTCGTTTCGGGTTAGATTAGATTGAGATGGGAACTGGGAACTGGAACTGGGTTCGGTTACCATGGTGTACACTTTCGGACTGCTACAAACGGCAGTTGCAATTATCCCGGATGCGTAGGTAATCCTTTACGGTGAGTATGTGCGTGGTTAATCCTTGCGGACGGTACAGTGAGGATCGGAAAAGGAGAAGACGCGACCGATCGTATCAAATTCAATGGACGATTGAATTTGATCGATGCCAAGCTAAGTTGGTTTAACTTCTAGGTCGAGTGTGGAATACCAACTAAAGCATCAAAACTTGTAGATTTTCTATATATACTCGGACCCAGCATCTGCCCATCCGGGCAGCGGCGTCTCAGTCGGCGGCGGCAGAGGCATCTTCACCGGGGCGACAGCTGTTAACACACGGCCAAAAGCCGAAATCGAAAGCGTTTTGGCCAGATGAAGATGAGCTGAAGTCGAAGTCGCTGTTTCTGCCTTCGTCGACAGCGAAGTCGACTGCTGACCAGCCAGAAAGACAGAAAACCAGCCAACCAGTCTCAGTTGTTTGATGTTTGTAAGTTAACAGAGTTAGCCAGATAACAGGGCTAAGACAAAAAAAGCCCAGCAATTATGGCAGAAGAGCAACTAAGGTAGCCACACCAAATACCTGCTCTTGTTGGCATTTCTATTTAGCCAGCTCCGATTGCGGGCAAATATTCGCGTACATTTTGGCAGAAGTCTTTGGGCGAGTGTTAAACACGTTGTCGTGCAGCGTTTAATTTGGTAAATGGGTCCGAGCCATCGGGCCATCGAGCCACCGAATTTCATCAATCGATGAGACAAGTTGGCTGGCCGAGTCAAGTCAAGGCTCCCATCGGAGCTTGAGCTCGCCAAGGCAAATAAGGCCGAGAAGATCAGGCGTTGGCTAATGGCGACTACAATTACACTTGCCCGGCGAAGCAGGCCTAAATGCAGTTGTCGATTGGCTGGCGAACATGAACCGGTTGACTTGGCCAAAAATGCGTGCGCCCGGGGGTCAGCAGATGGCAGCCGGAGTTGAATGTTAAGGTAGGCTCAGCTCATCTCAGCTCAACTCTGACTCCAGCGCCAGCTCCAACTGAGTGACCTTTAAACGCACACTCGAAGATCTCCGATCGGCGATCAGCGATCAGCGATCAGTGCTGCATTCTTTGAGCGACTCCCAAACCCGTTTCAGCATTTGTCATCGCCTGCATTTCGCCTTTTTTAATAACTAGAATTTATTAATTTGCAAACAGTCACGTCTGGCTTTTAATGAACCAATCAGAGTGACACCCACTAGCCGCTCGCGGAGTCATGTGGCGGCCAAAAATAGAAATGACTTTGAACTCTTTCGGCCCAAAGGTGCGTGGTCACCTAGTCAGGGTCTGAGAAGCCCGCCAAACACCCAGAGGAAGTGCAGCCAGACGGAAGTCACCCCTTTGGCCATTACGCGGCACTTAGAGCCACAATTAATTCTTAACTTTTATTGCATAATTGCTGGCTAACTATTCGGGTCATAACTTGCTTCGCACATCCCCACGAAAGGCAATGACACTTGACGACGACTGCTGACATTTCAAATTTGTCATTGCGGATAACTGAAGCGACTGAGTTGTTTTTATTATTCGTTTCAACTCTTTATCGCTAGAGGAAAAGCATTATTTTGTCGCATCATCGGACATTGCAACAGACGGCAGATTATTCAACGTTTTCCATGAGCATTCCGAGGAGCTGAGAATTCACAGTCTCAATTTTCGGACTCCACCGAAGGACGTTTAGGAAACACGGGTGACAAATTAAACAAGTCCGTGACATGTGTTTGTTCTAAACCGCATTCTCGACAGGTTGCTATTCAGATTAATTAAAAATAAAGTTGCTAATCTAGGGGAGTTTCAGCTTTTGTGTTTATTGCCTTTTGTCTTCAGGTGCGGAAATCATGATATCTAGTTTTTCGTTATGCTTTATCAGCACAAAGATCTTGTCTTGAAGTTATTTCCGAATGGTGCTGCAAACATTCTCCTGTTGGTATGGTCTTTCAAAATCTTTGTCTTCAAGTAGCTTGAACTAAATCACAGAAAAAAACCATGAAACAAGGTAAACAAATCTTAAATCATAATGTTAACTGGGTTTTTTTTCTGGTACACCCCACAAAAACTTCTGGCTAAGCCGCTTCATAAACAAATATTTAACAGCTAAAATGTTGCTACAAAATATTGCGTGAGGTCACTAAAAATGTTGTAAATGTTATGCCAAATTCTTAAATAGTAGCTTACCAAAACAAGCTTCTAAAATATGAAGCAAATATTGGTAATATTTTGAATGTGTCCTTTTCAAACCAATTAATTTTATTAGGCATAGAATTTTAATTGGCAATCTTTTTTAAGCCATCCATATTTTACAAACCTTAAGATTTATTGAGCTCGGTTATTAAAAGCTTGTACCCATTCAGGTAGACAATTAATATGGCTTATCTTATCCTAGAGAAAATTAAATACCCTCACGCACTGGCCATTAAAATTGAAATCAAGTCTCTTGGCAAGACACACGAAATATTCGACCGCAAATCAGCTAATGAAAAGTGTTCGCCTTAGAACAAAAACCACAGAGCAAGATGTCGCCACTGAATATTTATAAGCAGGCCGATGACTCTCTACCCACCCAGAAGATTCACGCATCTTTGAATGGATAAAGCCGCGTCTTGGAGTGCGTGGATATTCAAATTTCGCGGATCTTGTCTTGGAGGGTATCATATAAATTTCCGAGTCAAATGTCACGTCACCTGCGTCAGCGTTTGGTGGAGAACAAACCGCCGAAACATCGTTAATTGTGCTTATGATTTATGCAAATTTATCCCTATACATAACGCATTTGTCCGCGTCTCTCTGATAAATTCTACATGGCTTCAGTCAAGGCGGACTATATTGTTTTCTGCCTAAGATTTATATTTATGTAAATCTCACAACCAAACTTACGCCCGACCCGGACTAACTAGTTTCCCACTTTGTATCGCTTTTTTTCGCTAAGCTCAAATTTTGGCTTGGAATTCTAGTCTAGGAAGTGGAAACATTAAAAATTTTATTGAAGGCTCGAACTGGGTTTTACAACATGATAAACTTTAAAATAGAAAGTTTTTGAGAAAGACAAATTTGACACTATATCTGCTTACACTTCAAAATCAAAACAGACTTTATCAATCAATATTTTCATTTGACTTAAAACTAAAAAACTAATAAAAACTAAGCGCAAGACAAAATGGCAAAATTTCTTTAGATTTAAACGTTCCTTGGACCAATTTAAAATTAAAAAAAATATATATATTTTCTTTGTTCATGTTGATAAGAAAACAAGAAAAACCCCAAAGTAAATAAATATTTATAATCATTTTACTACATGAATGAAATTATTTCAGTATAATATTGATATTTTTCAGTATAATACTCAAGTGCATGTCCTTGAGTAAAATTAATATTTCATTCATCGGCTTAATTAATCAGACTGACACAATGAATTTCAATATCGATTAAGACTTTTAACCATATATCGTTGGACTGCATAACAATAAAAAAAATGTTGACTTATCGAGCAAAAGATCTGTGAAACATTCACCTTAAATTGATTGAGACTAAATATATTCTTTCAACAAGATTTCGCTCGAATTTGTTCAAACAATAAAAAGTACAGTTAGGTGATATCCCGACCATTAATTTATGAATATGATTTGACAAAATGTACAATGTTTGCAATGCGATTGAAAAATTGTTAACAGTCGCGTTCGGCAAACCGCATTAACAACTTGCTAACGGCATTTAGTTAATGGATATTCCAAGTTGTTAAATAAATGACGTTTGAAATTCATTTAAAATCTGTGAAATTTACTTGAAACAAAAACCTGCAGCTTGCTGCCAAATTAAAGGCGGTGTGGCGAGAAAAAAACATGTTTTTCCCCCGCTAAAAAAGACCAAGAAAAAAAAATATTAATAAGCCTTATCAAGGACACCGGCAGGCGAGCGTTAACCAGTTTTTTTGGCCAGCAATTTATGGGCCACAATTGCGGGCGATTGCCATTGGAATCCTTGTCGCACTAAATGAAACACCCAGACAATTTTTGGGAACCGCCGAGGGTCACCATCATCGCGCTGGGAACTGTGGGACAGGTAGCCCATCGAAACCGGTTACACAGAATCGAATCTGGGCTCGAACCATTACATAACCGAGTGACCCTTGAAAGTTTAACCAACTCGCCTGGCCTTTTAAAACGAAAGTGCCGAGCTTAACCAGAATTTACAAGACAATCGGGGCGAAATCATTAATCAGGCTACGACCGTTGTAGATCTGAATCGGAATTGAGCCTATCATTCACTTAAGGCGACACCCCGTCTCAAGTTCAACTCAAAGCTCGAGACCCCATGCTTGGTGGGTCAGAAAAACGGAAGGTGCCCGAAATGGAACTTGAGCTGATGGCTCACATCAAGACCTGATTAATGGCCATCTCGAGAGTGCACTTCACCCCTGCCATCTCGGCTGGCAAATTAGCCCATTTGGGACCAAAATATACAACACACTAACAATCGGATACAAACACTCGTTAGAGGCAGAAACAGAAACAGAAACACTTTTGAGTGCAAATAAAAACAGAAATTGGAGCAGTTCGGCTCACACGCGTCGACGGCCACAAGGCTGCTTAAGGCCAAAATTAAATTCAAAATTAAATATACACAAATGAGATAAATATAATGTATGAATTGGAGCTACAGATCGGGCTTGAGCCCTCGCCGTGGATGTATAAATTCTACATATAAAAACAACAAGCCAAAAATTAAATTCGAATAAAATTCATTTGTTTCGCACTGGGAACTGACCAACTGGTTATATCGCCTCATTTTAATAGCCAACTGGTTGGTCCCAGTACATAATATATTGCCATTTACTTATATCTTGTAGGCAGACCACTTTTGACAGGCGACGATTCTACGCCCCAAAATCCAAATTAAAAGTCAGACATGCAAATTTTTCAGTCTTTTATTTCTGTCGTCAAACACTCCCTTTGATTTACAGGAGAATTAGTGATTTTTCTAAAGACTTATACACTTAAGCATGTTCTTAGACAATACATCGGTTTATTTTTTTTTTCTAGCGATGATAACAATGCGTTATAGATTAAAATTATTAAACAGGTTGTCTACCCCGTTTTACATTTCGTAAGGCAAAAGTTGAAAAGTTAGGGTATGCTCTAAAATTAAAAACATTTCTTGCCAAAGAAATTATAGCTTATTATATTTTATCGTTTTTAATAATTAACTTGTAAAAATTTGTTTCTAAAATTTGTTCCTAATCGAACTAATAAATATCATTAAATAATTTTGATAAAAAATTAAATAAAGGGAATACCCCTGTCGACTTTGCGTTTCATTTGGTCACTTAATATTGATTAAAAGTAGCTTCATAAGGTATCACACACTAACGCACTTCGCGAATCCCAAATATATAATTTATCGAAGTCTGGACGATCGCAGGCCAGCGAAGTGTGTGATCGTAATGGCAGACACGAACACCGTTCAGCACTTGTGACGGCACCAAAAAGGTCACATAGCTTCCACCCGGCCATAAATTTCAGTTGTGGCAGTTATGATTTGTTGGCCGGGGTCCAAGACCACACATTCATCCACAGAATTTTGGGAGTTACCCGATGTCTTCCGTGATACCAGGGCCTTGACTTGGACACGCTCTTTAAGTAGCTATGTAGCTTAAGTCCTGGATTATCCTTCCATGTCTCATGACATTTACTCGTCTTGACATCGCTTTTCAGGCGATTAGCGCCTACTTAATTGGATTATGCAATCCAAAGACGTCAATCAGTGTGAGGTACCCTGTCCAGTCCCCGCTCTCGGTGGCATCTTCTCGACGCGAAGGTTAGATGGACCAGTTTTCTAATGAATTTCAGATAAAGTTCGGCTCGGGCTAGAGCCACAATGAACGCCTAAGTATTTATTAGCTTTAATTTGAATTTTCATATAAAATAAAACCGCGAACAAAACTCGTTGAGACGCTGCTTCTGCACGGAGATACATTTAGACATAGATGCTTCTATACGAAAACATAAAAAGACAAAAAAAAAGCAACACCGCCAAACAAAATCAAGTTCACCTCGAGTGTATCAAATTTGTATAAAATTCATCAGTTAGCAAATACGTCAGCTGGTAATACAAGATTCGAAGTCTGTGGTTAGCTATATAAAATAGTGTGTGTGTGGGCATTATGCAAAGCAGAGGAAGAAGACCACGTCCAACATATACAAAGTATCGTATATAGATATATTTGTACCTGTTAAGCTCGGATCGATTAGCATTTTAGTGGCTGCCTTAATGATGATATGCCGCCATGGGAGCCAATCTCAATGCAGTTCTGCGTGGCTAAACTATATTTTTATGTGGAATCGATTAACTCGAGCCATACATCACACGCTTGTTCCATCCATTCGATGTGCCCCACTCAAGGCCCCCCTCAGCGATCCAAACAAGAGTTCGAATCAGCTCAGAAGTGGCCAAAACATCTCTTGATTGACCACTTAATGGGCCAACTTTGCTCTTCTTTAGCGGTATTAATTGTGCCGCGAGCCAAGAACCAGTCACATTTTATAGAAATGGCCCGGTAATTGCTTAATTTAATTTTTCATAGTTCCTTAAATTTTCAAACCTCATTACTTTGTTGTAATAAAAGTATTGGCTTTGCATTGGCAACCATCAAAAGTATGACTTATTATTTATTACTTTTATGTTTGACCTTTCAACAAATAGTAATAAAACGGTTTAATAACAACTAGCTCATTGTGATAAAAACGCCTTTAAAAAAGCTTTAGATTTATGTTGTTATTTACAAAAATATACTAGAAGAATATTTTTACGGTAATGTCATTGATCAACAAGTGAGAATAAAAAAGAGCTTGCTGGGACGCACTATATTTTTCAATATCTTATATGTTATATTACCATCACCTTACCTTTTTGAAATGTAATAAAAATCGGCTTACTTTAAAAACATATATACATATATTTCTTTGGAATAATAAAACTGGAAAGCGTTCATTGCTTTAACCATTGTTAAAGAAACAATAAGCAATTTAAAAACAGATTATTAAAAATGATTTTAAGACTGTAGATAACTATTTTTAAAGCAGACGTCAACATATATATAATCCAGATCAAATCGAATTCTATAAGCCAAGGAATCCCACACAGCTCCGTTTCAGATAACGGTACATAATCGATAAATAATTTACTGACAATATAAGCTTTCGATTTCGATGGTGTTTGCGTCAGCATAACGTGCTCTGCGGCTAAAAACAAATGTATTCTGCAACAAATTTTAATTGCCATCTTGGGATGCTCACTTGCCCAAAAATCTCGTTCCCGAAACCATTTTGTGCAAATTTGTAGCAAAAATTTATAGCTCAGAATAGCAGAATATATATTCTAAGCTGGATTTTGGTAGTTAGCAGCGGCAGAAGCAGACGACACGATCCACCGATCATGTTCGAGCATGTATGCTAATTGAAATTCTGGTTCTCGAACTTGAATACCCATGGATGAGATATTTAGGTAAGAGTTTTGCGATTAGGAAACAAATTTAGCACCCGACTTGATAAACACCCGAACTTTGATATTTAATAACCATAAAAATTCGGCGAGCAGAATACACGGGCGATCATAATTTACTAATCGTACTATTTATTACATAAGATCGTTTTCGAAATCGTTGTGTTTTTTGTTTGTGTAACTTTACAATGGATGCTAAGGTTATGGGGTCATAGGCCTACGGACTAACTAAGAACTGAATAAGCTTAGGGTTAATTCAGTTATTTCAAGTGTTTTTTGTGTTTCAGGCACTCGAATCCATGACAGTTCAATGTGCTTAGGACTAAATGTCAACCCCGATGGGTTTTCCTCTTCCTGCTCCAGATTTCCAGACGGAGAGCAATGACAACGGAATTTCCTCGACTTAAGCTAAGGAACTAGATCGTAGAACTATATCTAGGGATATTTACAGCTCGCAACTAGAAGATACACTTTCTCGTAGCTTAAAGTTAGGTGTGCCTTAGGTGCAATACGCTTCACGGATTACGGATTACGAATTACAGATACAGATACGTTTGTTTTGGATGCAACAAGTCTTTTTGAATGTGAATGCTTCGTTTCCTACTTCTAGTTATCCCCTGGCTTCACAGCTCCGTGGAATACTCTTCCGGATTGACATTGAACTTGCGCCAGCAGATGTGATCCGCCGCTCCACCGGAAGACGCGGGCGGTGGCAACTTGTGGGAGTTGACGTTGACCACCGAACTGGCCGACCGCTTCACATGGACGCTGGGCGGCGGTGGTTGAACTGGAGCAGCCAGACAACCCGTGGAGCGGCCCAGCGGATTGCGGGACATGGCAGAGGCGGAGTTGTTGTTGCTCTTCCCGTTGCCATGGGTGATGGATTCGTTCGAGGGCGATATCTCTATGCGTGTGGCATGCCCCGTGCCACTTCCCCCATCGGAGAGCCGACGTATGTAGACCACCTCGCGATGCTTCTCCACCGATTCCCTGGGTGGACGCATCTGCGTTTGGGTCTGCGGCTGAGCTGTTTGTCTCATCCGCTGGGAATACCTCGTGGGTTTCGAGTCGCTCGCCTGGAAGGGCACATACTGCTGCTGCGTGATTCCAGGGAACTTGTCCACACTGATGTCCTCCTCAATGGCTGAGTCCCCGAACATGGAACCGCTGTAGTTGGGCGAACTATTTCCCGGGGTGGAGGACTTCCAGTGCTGCTGATGCATGGTCGTCTGAACTTGTCCCCCATTCTGAACGCCGTACTTTGGGGCACTCGAGTACTGGCCCTTCTTGATGGAGTGCGTGTAGTCCCGGGTTCCCCTCCGCCGCAGGGTAAAGTCCCTGCGTCCTGTGTCCTGGCACACGGAGCGCCACTGCTTCCAGGAGTGTCGAGCTAGTGGATCCGCCGGACCCCATTCCTTCGCCGGCTTGGAGGCCTCGCAGATCATGCCGAAGAAGTTGTACTCAACCTGCCTGAAGATCTGCACACAGGCAATGATTAGAATCACGGCCAGCACGAAAAGAATTGGCGCCCAACGTGGCAGATACTCGGCCAGCACATCGTACTGATCATCGTCAGCGCACCACCAAACCAGGATGCCCGTGAGAATGGCCGGGCAGATGACCCACAGCCACATCCAGATGCGGAAGATGGGACGTCCGATGGAGAACTCCAGGTCGGTGTAGATGTTCTTGGCTCCGTAGATCCAAGTTATGGCAATCAGCTCGAAGACCAGGGCAGTCACTACCATGGTGCCCACCAGTCGTGAGTCCAGAACGCGGGCGATGAGGAACTTTGGCGCCGCAAACGATATAACCGCCACCACCAGTCCAATCAGGCAGATCACATAGTTGGGGCGTCTTGGCACGAGACGCGTTGAGGTGTAAACGGCCACCGTAATGGAGACCATGGCCGAGAGGATGATCAGGGCGTAGATGAGCGAAGGAACCAGGTGCTGCAGCAGGTGGCTATCGCCCTCCCGGGAGCCATTCAACACCCGATCGTATATTGCGGTGAGGGGCTTCAGCTCCTCCATATTCTGGTAGCCGTTGGCCGACAGATCGAACTGGACCATAAACAATGTGACGGCAATGGCGTTGATCAGCAGGTTGAAGCAGAGGTAAACCACCGAGGTCCTCACAGCGTCACCTTTGTACAGGAACTTTCCCGTGACCATGGGCAGAGCTCCGAAGCCACAGTTCACCGAGAAGAGGACCTGCATCAGGGCATTGAACCAGATGTTGCTCTCGGCCAGCAAGCTGGTATCGAAGCCCCAAAGTTCCGGGAAGTAGTGACGACTGAAGGAGTTGCGCACCTCCCAACCAGTGAGAGTGCAAAGCAGGGCCAGACCAGTCAGTCCATAGACGAATATGCTGCGACGCAGGATCTTCGCGTTATGGGTGCTGTTGGTTAAATAAAAAACAGGTATTACCATAGTCAAATTAATATATAAGAGGGCTTAGTCTTACCACAACATTACCACTATCCAGAGGCCTATAAGCCCAGCTGCCAGAAGGCCAAAGAACATGGGATTACGCCAGAAGGGCGTGAGAAAGGTCTGCTGCAGGCACTCCTGTCCACTGGTTCCCGTGAGGAGGTAGCCACTCTGAAGAGTAAGATACATGAGACTGGGATCCTTTAAAGGATTAGATATAACTCACCATTCGTAGTTTAACGGGTCCGGCGCACTCGCGGAATGGCAGGTCATTGGAGGCGAACATCCCGATGTAGGCCAGTGCCAGCACGGCCTGCAAGGACACCCAAATGGCGGAAAGCCAAGAGGCGAAGCGACTGATGATGCTGGCTCCTGAGAAAGGGAACTTCGATTAATATCACTTAAACATTAAATTCAGTAAGAAAGTATTGTATAAAATTTATAGCGGCAACGTTTCTTTTTTCTTAGATAGTCCTCATACTTTTCAATTAGAATATCAATAAAATTCAGAGCTTAACCCTGTATTGGCGTCCCGAATTGGTCACATAAACCGTTCAAAGTACGAAAAATCTCACCTTGCTAACGACGAACTACAAAAGAGCGGAAGAGGAGGAACCCAGTTAATTAAATTACTTTTGTCATTTAAATGGCGAAATTCATAAAAGCAAAACCATTCGTTTGAAAAGAGCTCAAGTGAAAACTAGTTATGAATGAGAACGAGATTTTTTATATCTTTACATTTACATTTATAACGTATTCTGCAGCGATTGAAAATCTATTCGCCAAACCAGATCAATTTGACCTTAAAAACACACCCAAAGCTGTTAATAAATATATGTATTGTAAATTGGTTTGGGGACTACCATAACACGACATTGAAAATTATTCGAATATATAATAACGATTTAGTTTTCAAAGGTTTTAGGGCTTGGCTCTGCAGCTCGATTAACATCAATAAAATATTTTAATTAGCATTGTCTGTTATAGTGACCGCAACTGTATTTCCTTGGTTATTACACACTTCCTCTTTATTCATATATCCACATTGCATTACGTTGGACGATTCCGTTAACACTGTTTTTTTATTGGCTATATGGCAGTATGAAAAATGTGAAGAAGCAGAAACTCACTTCTCATCTGAAGTATTGATTGTATTCTTCAATCATTCGGATACGCAATCGGCACGTGCCGAGAATCGTTTGCCACATTTATCGTAATTATAGACTGCAAACCACTCACTCATGAAGCGCTCCATTCAATGAGCTCTCTGATTTCACTATGAAATGGGCACATTAAAGGCAACGTCGCTGGCTTTAACAATTTTAAGTGTTACCTTTAGCCTTTTATGAGTTTTATAAGTCATATAACAAGTTAATGGCTCATCAAGAATAAGCTTTAATGATGATTCTTTGGATTTTTCCTCCAAAGCAGTGATTTCTTTGCCAAAATGTATACCTTAACGCAAAAGCAAAGTTAATTTAAAATTCGTGTAACCAAAACTATACATTGTAGAGTGTTTTTTAAATAGACTTTTTGTTATTTAACTGTCAATAAAATGGATTTTATAGGCAGTGATGTTTTAGATCTTTACTCAAATGTAAGTCTGCCTTAGTTGATGATTAGTTTTTATTGCATGATAAAAACTAAGTTTTTTGGCTTTGAAAATACAAATAAGTCACATTTAATGCGAAACTATTAAAGGTCGAATTAACAAGAAATAATTAATTGCTCATACGCACTGTTGCTATACCTTGTTCTTTAAGTTATTTAATTTAAATGTTTTCTGTTTAAATAGTATTTTTTTTTGGAAAATTAAACATAATAATTTAAGCAAGCGCAAGCTTGTTACGCGCGGGCCCTTTAGCATATTTTAAAATTTATATTCTTGAGCTATAAAAAAGGGCGATACAACGAAGGCATTCCTTTGCAGCCACCAAGCATTCACGTGTTTTTGTTGGTGTTTTTATTATTACTGAGGTCTTTTCGAAGGTGTTGTGTCGTAATTTGCAGTTGTCGTTTTTGCTTTTTGCCATTATTAGTTGTTGCTCATATTGCTCATTTTTGAATTCGTTTGTTTCTCGTTACAATTGTTTTTGGTTTATACTTTTGTTCATTTAGAATTTGCCTTAAACGTCTCTATGGTTATTTTTTGTGGACGCGCCGCCGCTTTGCCCGCGCTATACCGCTCCACGAAGCCATCTTCCTTTTTCGCTCGCCGGCTTCCGTTTCCGGCTTAGTTTTCGCTCCCGTTTCCGGTCCCGCCCAAGCACGTAGCTCCTTCGCAGAGGGGGCGGGGCGGGCGGCATACTGATTTGGTTGTTGTTTTGGGCTTTATTACTAGATGTCCTTGTGGGCCGCCAGTCTACCCGCTTCTGGGGGGCGGCAGCAAGTGTGGGCGCGGCGAGGGGGGCGAGCGGGCCGATAGTGGGCGGGCGATAAGCGCGGGGGCGTGGCGCGCCAGCGATTACACGAACGGGACACACACACCAATGCATTTTGAGGTTTTAATATTTTTTTTGTACGATTTTTTCAGAGATTTTTTGCGGTTGTCCTGATAACACGATGATGATTTTATCTACTAGGTCACATTTAAGTAAGTCTTCTCTTTTTTTAGTGTATTTTATGTGTATTTTTTTAGATTTTTTTGTTTGCATTGATATAACTTTGGTCTGATATTTAGCTTTTTTCTCATTTTGTCATTATCATTTTCGATTCGTGATACATAACATATCTATGTCTTAGACTTTTGCGGTTGTTGATTTTGCTTTCTTGTTTATTTAGTTTGCTCCTGTGCTCCTGCGCCTTTGCGTTTGCATTTTTGCATCCTTTGGGGGGAGGACAATATTGCGCCTGCTTCGGCCTTGGTTTTTGCTTCAGAGAGTGAGAGAGAGATGACGAAAGTTTTGCAATCGTAACTTCGGCTACCAACGGACACAATTCGAGAGAGTGGGGATGAGACGGGATGTGTCCAACCGTCATTGCTGCGGAATGCACGACCGCCCGCTGGAGGTCCTTGCGATGCGACTATTTAAGCGAATGCCCTCTGAATTCCAACTTGGGAATTACAAACGCTGCAACTGCAAAGCTTTCCCCCAGAAGCTTCGTCCTCTGCATTGGGGATGCAAAAAGCTGCAGCTGCATGTGCTTTAGCTTCGACCCCCAAATCCATTTCGCCACCCCCAAAACGCGATGGATGCTTCCGTTTCTGCCGTTTCTGAGCACCTGTTGACGGCCGAAAAGTATGCAACCCCTGTTTCACTCACCTTTGAAAATGGGCGAGGCGCGCCAGGTGTGCGCCGCCCCCTGGCCCAGGAACTGGCCCACGGAGATCTCCAGCAGAATCATGGGCAGGCCGACTAGAAACAGCAGCACCACATACGGCAGCAGATACGCCGACCCGTAGCGGTCCAACTCGCGTGGGAAGCGGACCACGTTCGCGTAGCTCAGGTTCAGGCACAAGCACAGCACGAGCCCACGGAACACCGAGCATTTCGTCTGCAATAAGAGAGAAATAGAGCAAATATTTACATTAGCTTTGACGACATGGGTTAAACATTGACCTACAATTTATTGACTAGACACCCACCTAAACTACAACTACCAGACACCCACTATGTTAAAGCTTTTATAGTAAATGTATTTTTTGTATCCCTTGATTTGTATAAAATGCAAATCTACATTAAAAAATCTTTTATTCAAAATGAAATGTTTAGAACACTTTTTGTCTGTGAAAGCAATAAAATGCTCAACATTATTGTGCATTAAAAAATAAAAAACAAATAAGTATTAGCTAAAATGACTTATTTTCTATTAAAATTATTTGAAATAAGTCTTATTTTGATATTCGGCAATGAATTTGAAAAGAATACGTTTGAATGGCTTGATTAGTTTCGTTAATATTACAATTTATCTGTTTAGAATGCTTTTGGTTTAATATCTTTTTGTTAAAATTACACTTCCTAAAAATAACTTAAAGAACTTTTAGGTTGGTAGTCTCTACAAACTTAAAAGTTTTAAGTATTTTAATAGTATTTGGTACAAAACTATTAACCATTTAAAGTTTGTAGATAAAAGAAAACGGCCCTTTATAGCTTAATAGTTTAAAGGATTTGATAGATCCAAAAAATTGTGGACACAAAAAAGACCGTCGGTAATTGAAAAACTTGGCAGGTTCAAAGATACAAAATATTTTTGGAAATACTTTCAACCACGAACCTCACTCAAAGAAAGTAAGAGTTCATTATAAGCTTCGTTTTCAGCTTTTCGAAAAATTTGCACAGCTGATGAGAAAATACAAAACTACAGATTGCTGTCATATGCAAGCCCATTTGGGTTTGCTTATTTTGCAGGTAGCCCAGACGAATAGCAGCAGTTACAGTCACAGTTGCCGCATCCGCCGACATTAAACAAAAACAAAAATATACTCCTACAGAGCGTCATCGTCATTTCCGGTACTTCCGCTTTCGACTTGTGTAATTTCGCTATGCTTCGCTTTATTTTCATTAATTACACAATTTTGCTTTCTGTTTATTTGTCTTACGACTCATATTCCTCGAATTCCCCCACTTCTCGGCAATCCGAGCTGCCTTAGTTCTTTGTGTTTGCACAGTGAGCGGCAAAAGAAAGTGCCCGCCACAGCAGGGTGTCATGGGGGGACCTTATTAGGCGGCGACCGAAATTCGCTCATAGCTCTAATAAGTCATCGGCATAATGTACAGCATAAGCCCATTAGATGTGCGCGCGCAAAAACATCAGCCAGCAACTAACAGCAATCCTCACTTTGGTTACTTTCGAAGCCCAACACAAAAATACATTACAAAACCGTGCATAGCAACTAAAGAATACCTTGCAATAGCAAACATAAGTCATTTTAAAATATATAAAACATATTTAAATCCCAAAACTTGATGGATTTTGTTCCTTTAAATATTTAAAGTATGTTTGTTTAGCACTTGAACTAGTATATGTATAACATAAATATTAATAACATAAACGTTTTAAATAAATTCAGAAATTTAAAAAAAACAGATAACAATTTTTTAAGTATTTCTTAGTCCTTACAAAATTAGTCTTTACAGAAGTATTTTTTTCATTTTAAGTAAAAACTTTTTGTTTTTACAAAATTATAATTTTTTTCAATCTTTGGTTTTATGCCCAATAAAAACTCGAATTAACTAATTTCATTATTTTTCTTCTAATTTATCATAGAACGCAAGCCAAAAACCAATTCTGAGCCCTTATTTTACAGGGTATTTTTAATCGTAATCGTGAAATTCATTCAGTTGGACAAACGAACTGCCAACAGGGGCAACAACAGCATCCAAAGGTAGAGCGGTAACAACGTGACGCCCAGGTAAACGCAGTTAATAAAGCGAAAACCGCACAGTGAAAATGTAAACAAAAAAAATCGCCCAGCCAAGCGGCATTTGGAGTTTATGAGCGTGCAGATGACGAGCGTTATACAGGCATACGAGTATCATATAAATCATATGCCATATCATGCATGATGGCCCCCGCAAAGACCCCGAAGCCCTATCACTTACTTTTCGATAGTATCGGAAGGGAACGTCCTCGTGTACAACGTACAGATAGTCGGCTAAATACTTTGTCGTTGGTATATCCATCTTGGGACAGACTTTGTATTGCTTGTAGGTTTCAAAGAACTTGTCATTTTCTTGCATTTGTTTGTTGTTACATACAAATCTGGTTTCGCACTGTTATGGTTTGGATTTGTTCGTTTCGCTTTTTTTGTGTGTGTAGGTAAACGGCGAGGTTTGTTTCCTTTAGAGCTGAAATTTTAATTGCACTGCACTCGAAAATAAATAAATTACAATTAGCGGGCGCACTCGTGTGGATTTTTAAGTATTTCGTATTTATTTTTTAAACATCATGCTAATTAAAGCCTCGTCTTGTGGCATTTGTGTCAAGAAAATAACAATATTTTTATGCAAGTGGAACAAGTTATCACGTGACGACAGCGAGCCAACAAAAAGCGCAGACTTTTAAAATAAATTGGCAACACCTTCAGAGCCTGGCCCTGAACCGCTTATTGAATGTCTCGCTGTCTCGTTTTGTTTTTATTTCATACAAGGTATTTGTATTCTTTTTTTTCCACATTTCACACAAATCGCCAACGCATATCAATGACAGTTGTTATGGAATTATAGTACTCAAGCAGCTCCTTCTATATACAACAATATAGTGGCTTGTGGTTGCGGATTGCCTGGAATTCAATTACATTTTATTGCACAGAACTCATTGGTCAGGCGATTCACTTCACACGTTTGCATTTTCCCCGATCGCACTGCGTTTCCTTTTTATCTTAGATGGTTTTATGTTTATTTTTATTTTTATTTTTATTTGCTATTTTTTTAGCCTTTCAAAGCTAGTAAGTTGAGCGCGTGCACTCATCACCGCTGCAGCGTCGAGCTGCGACTGCGCAGACGATCGTTTTGATTGGGGGGAAAATGGAATCGAATCCGAATTCGACTGCCCGAGGAGAAAGGGGCGGCCGAGAGATGATGATGGCCAAACGAGTTTTCCCCCATTCGGGGTAAACTTTTATTTGGGATCTCTCTCCGCTTGATTTTTCCTCTGGCAGACTTTTCATCTGGATGAAGCCCAGATGTTGTTTGTGGACCACACGGAGCGTGCGAGCGAGCGTACCTCGTACCTAACTGCTCTCTCATTAATGCAGAACTGACGACTGACGTAGTGCCGGCGGCAGCAAAATAAAAACAGCACTCCCAGCAGCGGCTCAAAAGCAGCGACGGCACCAAAGCGTGGCTTTCTATGCACAGTGGCTGCGCAAAGTCAGCGCACGCCTCCGCGCGCCTGCTGAAAGCACGGAGCCAAGCTCATGCCTCACTGGGTTTCTTTGGAAATTTATGCATGCTTCTTACAGGCACACAGAAAGAAATACATACTGCGGTCTATACTTTTTACATTAAATTGCAAGCAATTTATTAACTCTATATATATTTTATTATACAAAAAATTGGTAGGTATTTATGATTTTATTATTTGTATGGTTGTAAAGTTTTTTAGCCTTGGAATACTAAATTAATATAAGTTTACACACAAACTATTTGAAAATATCAATATCATTAATCTACTATATTATTCAAGGGAAAAAATTGTAAAATAATGTATTTTAGTATATTTTCACTTTGAAGTTAAGCTAAAATTTATTAGCTCTTGAGTTACAATCACCACACTTAACGTCAATTTCACGTGTTCCCCTTTTTTGCTGTGCACTTAACTTTTCTGAGTGAATTAAATCGTCACAGGTTTATTGAAGCTCTTCAACGTTCTCAGCTCGCCCACGTGGGTTAATTGAAAAAAAAGAGCAGGGAATAAAAAGATGCTGGCTGAATGAGATTATATTTATATTGCTTAATGATGCCCTTAGGCCGCGTTCCCATGTCTCGAAATCCATCTGCATAATTAACCTGTCTTCTGCACAGCAGGAAGTGGCCACCACAAAGAGCAGAAACCGTCTATTAGTCTTGGCTCTTTGAGCCGCTTCTCATACTAAAATTAAATATCATTTTAACACGTTCTTTTGGCGCAGAAAGAGAGAAGAGCGCGGCTTTTTCTAATTATTATGTAAGCATGCGAGCGAAACTGGCACTGGGCGCGTAATTAACAGCACTCACTGTGCGATCAAAAAAAAGGGAGGAATGGGTAAAAAAATTACCGAGGTAGCGCCGAGCAAAATAGGTGGAATGAATGGGCGCTAATGGAAAATAAAAATATTATTACTAGTTAGGATTTATATTTGGCATCAAAGTTCTGCCATATTAAGCGGAAGTTCGTATGAAATGCTAATAAAATCGGAACGCTAAAGGTTTGACTTTCTCAACGATGATCACATCAAGAACTTCCACACATTTAGCATAAATAATTGCTTGATTTTGGCTTTTTGACGGTTTCGTTTGTGTCTCGCATATCGAATGAGCTCTAAAGTGGTATAACAAATATGAGAAATATGAAAAGCCAAAAGTAAAAGCGTGGGCTGCGGCCAATTAATTGAGAAACTTAACTCATAAATACCCGCCAAGGTTTCTCCTGGGTTTCTTCTATCGAGAATTGATTCCACAATTGTATCAGAATGGAAAGGTCTCGTAGGCTGCACAATAATTACCTTTAGTCTGCTGACACCTGAAACTGGAGTGTGAAAATGTCCCCACAATGGAGCTGGTCACAAAAGGTGTCCGAAATAAGGCTATTGTGTGTGCTGAGTTTTCTGTTGAATAAGCGATGCCACGACAATCTCTTTGACTGAACGGATCTGGGCACCAGAGCATGGACAAGTGTACCCGGGGAGTTGTAGGTTGTAGTTATGGTACTCGCATCTGGGCTATTGTTTTACGACTTGGATTGCGTCTCGTGGGCTCTAATCAGTGGCCAGTGAAAGGAGAAGTCATGAAGCCATGCAGCTGTGTGTGATATCGTTAACTCGTCAAATGGTCTCGGTTACACCCAAAACCCGGTAGCGCAGTGTACCGTGCAGTGGGATTGTGTATCTGTCAATTCAAGGCAATTCTACTCGATTCCTTCCCGTTGCCCACTTTCACTGGATGCGATTTCCTTGATTTGCCGATGCAATTCTAATAGCCCATGCAATTATTGTGTTGCATTAAACCAGTTCGCAACTGACGTCATCTCTGATTTTCATTTCTTTTTATGGCCGAAACGTGCGACGTGCCACTGCCGAATTTGCACCGAAAGTATCTGCACACATTGTAGTTGCTGCCGCTGTGTTTTGTTGAACTTGTTAATCAGCGAATTGGAAACGAAATAACATAAGAGATGAAGTAACTGAACAGCTCGAGAAACATGCATATGGGCAGAGGTTTTCGCTTTTGGGTCTTGGGTTTTGGGTTTTGGGTTTTGGTCACTCGCATGAGCCGCAAAAAAATGGAAGGGAAGTGGCGGCGGTGGCAGCAACAACGAGAGGCCATCGATTGTGGTAAGCAAATTGCACATTCCAAAAGTCCAAGTTAAAAGTAAAAATAAGCAAACAAGTATGCGAACTGCTGGCAGACATCGAATTAGCCGAACAGAGCTGCAAGTACAGTTTAAGTTGCGGGACCATGAAATTGGTCAATAAATTGTACTTTTGAATGGATAATGTTGCCAGCAAATAAATAGACAGTAGTTGATTTTTAAGCTGTTTATAGTTAAAATGTTTACTAATTGTTTCCAAGTTAATATATATTTAATGAATAAGGGAAAAACTTCCTAACATTTCATTTGCATCGGCCAGGTGTAATAACAAATTCAATTTATTAATTAATGTTCAATTAAGTATGTTTAAAATTTATATTATAATAAAAATTTGCACATCAGAGACCGTATAAGATCGAATGATTTTAATTGATTTGACAGTTTAATATTTAGTACTTGCCAATATGTGTGCATACACTCTTTGCTTTACTATAACAAAAGACTCAGGGCACGAACTCGTTGCCCCGAAGATTATGCAACACTTTACCACAGTTGAATTTCCTTTGCTTTCGGTATAAAAAGCATAGCATACCCTACGGATAAAAATTACTCTACTTATGTCAAGTAGTGTATAAAACGAGTTGCAAGCATGTTAAGTTCATGTAGAAACCAGAAGGAACGCTTTAATCGAGTGCCTCATCTATTAAATACCCTTTACCCTGTTAATATTTTTACTTGGAACATTTTCATTCCAATAATTATGGTATGTTTTACAAAAAATCTATCATGATTGCTTTTATTTTGGACGTTTTCGTTCTTAATTTTCAGTCAGATCAACTAGGCTAGTGATCCTAATCAATAATATTTTTTTGTTAGAAGTATTTAACCTTTTGTCGAAATGTATAAAATAAAATGACACTAAAGTTTATTAGGCCTTGTAACATATTTAAAAGTATAGTCTTTAAAAATGCAGAAACAGAAATGCAAAACAGAACAATTTACTGTTTAAACTTCCATTATTAAATTAGCATTTCGGGGGAATATTTAAATTACCTGTTGCTAACTTGTACTAATTTTTAAAAACGAAAACAAACCATCCAACGATCTAATGAAATGACTATCCCACTTTTGTTCTTGGTCCCAAATATAGACCTTTAAGTTTTTTTATTAAATTAACTGCACGCACAACAGTCGTCGTACTAGTGTTTGTAATCCTAATTAAAGGCAATTAGCATCTGTACGACGCATTTCATATTGCACTTGGCACTTGCACTTCCACTCGGCCGGGGAACCTGGCCTGAATGGGTGAAAATTGCGGGAAACAATGGCAGAGATAGATGCGAAAGACAATGGCCAGCGACCAGCTGTGCCCTATCCGGTCCACTCCGATCCAGTCCGGTGCCCGCTGCCTTACTAACCCAAATAGGAGACAAATACGAGCTCACAGATGCCGAAACTAGTTTTATTATCTTGTTTATGATGTTGCCGATGCCCGCCAAACCCTATAAACAATGACTATTAGACCAATACACAAGGATGGATTGTTTGGACGACCTGCATTCCCATACAAAAGAGCTTCAGGTGTTTGAAGGTTGCCATTGCCACGCCCTCTGCTGCAACCCAGTCTGTGCCGTCTTAGGTAATCTTCATCTTGAAAACTATTCAAACACCTCAAATCGATGATCAGCAAACAATGGAGGAAAGCAAACAAATAGCGCGAAAATTAACACGTTTTAACTCAAGAAGATATAACAGTGAGCTGTAAAAGTCTGCCGCCACACACAACAAAAAAATATTCATGAAAAACTACTCCAAAAAATGCATTCATGTCTTGATGAATTATTCAGGAAATATTTTCAAGACAATTTAAGGAACAAAATGAAATCAAATTCAATAATATGCCTTTGTAATGACAAATTTGAAAAGATATTTTTTTTTAATAGAAAATTACAGAATATTGTTTCATTAGAAATATAAATTCTATTTAGAAAATATTAGCCGATTGAAAGAAATTAATATCATAATTAAACAAAAGGGATTTTAATTAATTATATGCTATATTTTTTTTTTTTGGTGTACGAAAGTATTTAAATATTGCACATATATCACTACCAGACGATTGCATCGGCTTAGACAAATCGATCGATTGGGGAATGACAAACAAAAGTGTGGATATTCTCTTGAGACCTGAGACACGTACACAAAGTCAGTCCGAATATTTTCAGCATTATTAAGCAGAGAAATAAAATTTACAGCGACTCGTGAGTAATCGATAGCCAGAATCGCCGAAGCTCCATTCAGAATACTGACCCCACCTGATGATAAGTAGCAGTCAGTCGAGAATTAACCCAACATCATTCTTATTCACATTCATTCTTATTTATTCGCACAAAATCTAAAGAGGAAGATGAATCAAATTGCTTCTGGCTAACCCGTAACATTAAACAAAGGGGGTTTAACTTGAGAGATCTTGGCTGATAACTTCGAAATAACCAAAACAGGTAAGACGACCACTCGACTTGGAGTCCAAATAAATTGCATACACGAGCTCCGGCTTCGAAGATGAACTACTTTTTTG